GGGAATATTGAGCTTGCTGAAGTTAATAAAGGTCATTGATAGCTCGCATGTTCACTTCCTAGAGATGAAAGCTTAGTATGTTTTCAGTGTGATTATGTGTAATGGTAAGATTCCAGTAAGTGTTGTTTAATGCATGTCTTGCTTCTAAGATATATGGATAGTACTGCAACTGGCACTGTATGCTGAATCTTTAGTGACCTTTGCACTGGGAGAGCAAGGCAATCCAAAGCTCCTTAAATGCTATGAATAAAATGTACAAAATGGGCCGAAGCTGTGTGTATGTTCATGGATTAAAGCCTTGGATTAAACCTCTAATTGAGAATGTGATCTTTATTGTACCGGAGCTCTGAATACTCAGTCACACCAATTTGAAAGTTACTCTAGTCCACATTCTCCTCCCCCCCCCCCCCCCGACTTACAAGTGGGTAAATAGCATCAAGTTTCTAGCTCCTTTGCTGAAAAAGCACACGTGTCCTATTTTGAGTTTGTTCAAACATAGATGTGTTGGAATTCTGTTTTAATATTAAAGTGCCTATATATGTAACAGTGGCATCCTTTTACTGACTCTGTTCCCTGTGTGTGCGTTCTGCCATCTCTGCTTATTTTAGTGACAAAATTAAGTTGTTACTACTTTTTTCTCCTGCTAGCAGAGCAGAGCCAACACCGCCGTGGGAGAGCAAGTTGGGTTCGCTTTCTTCTTATGCAGCATCAACAGATTTGTTTATTAAATTCCAGTTACCTTCCGTGCACCTGTGCAATCTCATTGAAGACAGATTGCAAGGGTATCACAGAGGGCATAGGATGAAGACAGTGGGATGGAGTAAATGTCCTTGAGACCCTAATTTGCGTGACAGAACTTCTAACACAGGTGGTAATACTCACGAAGAAAAGAACCTAGCTTGATTCTCAGATTTCAGGTTTGGATTGCAGGGCTAGCTGCTAGTGGAGAGAGTTTTGTTTTTCCCTTTTTGAACAGAGAACACTTGAAAATTCTCAAAGAGATGACAAACATGGAACCCTCACAGTGCCATTGTCCAGTGTAATGAACCACATCTTAAGGGAAATTTTGTATTTTCTTCCAGATACGATGAAGATTATTCACCAAGCACATGGATCTAAGGTACATTTGCTATCTGTTCCTTTCCCCCCCTTTTATGTGTGGATACAGCAAGATCTATGTACTTTTAGAGAACATAATGGCAGAGCTAATAAAACCTGCATTTATCTTTATATTCCTGTTTACTTATTTCTAGACCAATGAACTTGTAGTGAGTTTGGAGGATGATGACAAACTCATTTTAAAAGAAGACAGCACTTTGAAAGCAGCTGGAGTAGGTAGGAGTACCTTTATATTGACTGACAGAACTGATCATTATGCTTGTCATTATACTGATAACTGGCTGATTATGTTTGGATAGTCTGCTGAAAAGTAAATGCTATTCCTGCTGCTCTTTACACTACCTGATAATTATCCAGGGAAGAAGGGGGGATAATGTACATTCACATCATTGGGCTGAGGGCGGCAGGTATGTGCACTCCAACTGCTCAGAATGCAAATTGTGATTTTTAGAAGGTATGCTTAGAATTCTGCTGTGGGTAATTTTAAATGATTGACAGATAAGATTAAGCAGACATAGTACTAAATAACCTATCAGTAACATTTAAACTGATGTTTTGGTTAGAAGTTTAAGTAGTGGAGCTAGTGTGGAATAATGAAATGAGATTAGGTTTGTTTAATGTGCAACACAATATTCAAATTGCTCAGGGCAGCACAAATATCGTTTAGAAGTGAGCTGAACATGACGCGTGGTTCAAATCAACCTGAGTCCTTGCTTTCTGACAGAAGAATGCATATGGCCAGGGCCGGTACAAGGAAGTTTCGCGCCCTAGGCGAAACTTCCACCTTGCGCTCCCCGCCCCCTCGTCCCCCCCTGCGGCAGCTCCCCACCCCAGCTCACCTCTGCTCCGCCTCCTCCTCGAGCACGCCGCCCCCGCTCTAATTCTCCTCCCCTCCCAGGCTTGCGGTGCCAAACAGCTGATTGGCGCTGCAAGCCTG